TTAATAATAAATATTGGAAGGTATAGTTTCTGTTTTATATTATTAGGTTTTTGTATTTAAATTTTTTATAAGTTATGTTTCATTGACACACAGTTATATATGTTGCTTGACAATTGCTAGGGAACAGTGCCAATTTTTGGCATAATCATTAGTGGGCAATGCTAAAGGAAGAACTCCATATTATATTTAAATAGAGGCATTATGATCGTTGCTGTTAACATGAAATGGCAGGCATTCCTTGCTATGGAAAGAACAGGACAACAAAAACAAGAAGTGTTGCATATAGAGCATTGTGGTGTCATAACAGTAAATGTTTTGGCCCATATTAATACTGCAGATTCGACAAAATTAGTATAGTGTACCTCAAACAGCACATGATTTGCACTTGTTTGGCATACTGTACACAAGACTGTTTAGGAGTATGGTTGAGATGTCTTCCTTTAAGGCTGTTTTAAGATCCTGAAGAGTCCCAGATGGTAGTTTTCTCTGTGGAAAACATCTGAGTATTCCTAGGCAAATAAGATTTCTTAAAGATCATTTAATATGATTAAAAATGAATAAAGAAAATTTTTACTGCATATGATGGTTGTAGGATTGGTAGTTGTACAAGTGCAGTTTTTATAGGAGTTAATAAGTTCCTAGGCAAGTTCTGTTGGGTTGAGATCCAAGGAATATGCAGGCAATTTCATGTGTTGGATGTACTTCACTTTCCAGTACTTGAACATCTTGAGCAGTGTGTGGATGGGCATTGTTGTCTATAAATACAAAGTTTGGATTCTGTTCCACGGAAAGACAAACACAATCTTCCAAATCTTGTGATAATACCACTCTCCCACAACTGATTCTATTGAAAAGATGCAAAGTTGTTATTTTTCTATTAATCTTTATACCTGCTCAAAGTATGACACACCAGGATCATAATTCTAAATTGCATGAATGCTTTGTTGTGGTATCATGTTTCCCATTCTTGCCATACTAACTAATATCCAGCATTGCATACAATACTGAACAAGATTTATTTGAATACATCCCCTTAGATCACTGTCGATTTTCTCAGTCACAATGCTCTCTGCTCTCTACACTCTACACTGTACTCTGCTGTAACTATGTAAAGTACTATATTATTTTTCCGACTTACCAACGATTATCGACACTACTGTGTGCCGGAAATAGCCGTTCCCTAACGGGTACTTTACGCGGATTCGCGTTAGTGTGCCAGGCCTGGACTTTAAGCGTGCACCGAATTAAATAATGACAAAGTTTGTCAATAACAAAAATCAAATATTTAATTAAACTTCTATTAATAAACTCTATACAGTATTTAGTAAAAATCAAACAATAATTTATTCAATGGAACTCAACAAGAATCAATCCGACAAACTCAAATCAATCTATTTCTAACTTAATTCTATTCCCCTTTGGAATTCGACAAAATCAAAGAATTAACTTATAAACAATAATTCTTATAAATTAAAGATCCTAATCGTCACCTCAATATACTAGGAACCTATTTCCTCAAACTCTCAAGACTTTCTATAATCGTCGATCCACAAATCGAATAACTTCAAAATCCTATCGGACACCTCTCTCTTTCACTGCTACGAAGCTCACCAAAGCTCGTTGCTATCAGGAATTCACCTCGTTCGTTTTCACTTGAGTTAGAGGCTTTATAGTGTGAGGTGACGTCACAATTCTGAATGAGCTCACTCTCCTCATTTACATACTTATCTGTAACATTAAATTTTTCTTGTTTATCTGGCAGATTATTTTCCGACAATACTTCGCTAACCTTTTACATTATTCTTTTTAACAATTATCGGGATGCTTTATTATTTTAAGGTTTAGCGATTCCTAACTGGGTTGTGGGGTCTTCCCCCCCCTTTTTCTCGGTGCGGACTTACTTTTTCCGCTTGGGAAGCGCAAGTGTGCGCGAGTTTTTCTACGGCGCTTTTCTTTCGTCGGTGAGTTGGTTTTTCTTCTATTTTTAAGTTACTAAGGTGAATGGTGAGGAAACCTTCGTCTTAACTAAACATAAGCCCCAAACAAAATATAATGAAAGCAAAATAAAAGTAAAATAAAAAATAAAGCTCAGACTTGGTTCCTTACAACTATGACAAGATGATAAGGGAAGTCCATGAAGTGTGTTCCAAGCGTATAGACCAACAGCATTCAGTCTGTGATATAGTTCAGGGGATACCCAAGTGCCTGAAGCATTTACTAGGTTGGCAGTTATGTGAGATATAGAAGTACTGTTTTGTTTTGCTAAAAGGGGTTCATACTTATTCTCTTGGAATGTTTTGTGCCTTTCCAGACCACCACTGTGCATACATAAGGCTGTTCCTCTGGACCCAAAAGCTATTTTCAATTGGGAAATCACACTTAGACACACCCAATACTGCTGCAACTTCAGTGATTCTGCTAGCTTCTGAAGTTGTTCAACAGTTCATCCATGATCATATTGCAGTTACAGAAGAACAATGACATAAATGATGAATTAATAATTTTATTAATTCCAGACCAAAATTCTATAATATAAACATTCATGCACTGAGAACAACTGCTGATGAACACCTTTTATGCAAATTGCAGGGATTGTATAATAGGCAGGTTGATTCAAGCAGTTGTGTTGCCATTGAAAAGCATTTCATGGGAAATGTCACTGTTCCCTAGCAATTGTCAAGTAGTGTATATTATAAATGGAAATGATAGATTCAATTATACATAAGTTAGATTCAAGAAGATAAGAAATCATAGTTATTACAAACCTTAGGTTTTTTATTGAATAAATTAAAACTGTTCCAGTGATTATAGTTTTAAAAAAATTATTAATTAAAATTAAAAGTTTTTCAAATATGAAAGTTTATTCTGATTATGATTTGAAATGTTAATTCACTTCAAATATTATTCAATCTTTTGCATTTAAAACTTATCAGAGCAAAAAAAATATGAAATTCAGCAGTGCTTGTGTATATTTTTATTTTTATAAACTAGATAAAATTGATGAAAATAAATATAGCTGTATGTCAAAATATATGAAAAATTCATTCTTGCATTAATGCATAAAAACAAAAAGTAATTTTTCATATTATGTTCTGGCATAAAATATTTATTTTTGTAAGTTATATGTGTGTCTAGATAGTGATTTATTGGACATAAAAAACTGGCACACAAACTGGAAATATATACTAAAACAACCACTTCACACCTAAGCAATAATTCCAGCAAATGAACAACAGATTTCAGCTGACCCTTGACCTTTTAAGGTAGTGGCTTTCCGGGCCGTAGTTGCTAGGGCTTTCTCCCATTGCTAGGACACTTCCGATACACACAACAAACTGAAATGCATCAAGTCTATAGCATCTGCACACAGGTACCACCAATCCTTAATAAACAGGCTTGCTGCCAACCAGCTATCTACGATAACTACCACCGACACGAGGCTTAATGATGCAAGCACGGGTGGTTATAGCTTACGAACCGTCCCTCCAACAAATTTATAATAGAATTGCTAAGGATTTAAACTTGCACTTAAATTATAGGAGAAAACAGAACATTTTTCGAATCTTATCTAATGAAAAAGACAAGTCTGAGGTCAAGAAAGCGCCAGGAGTGTACCACATTCCATTGCAAGACAATCGTTTCAATAGTCGTATAACATACATTGGGTCCACGTATTGATCTCTAGAGGCTAGAATACGAGACTACAAGTATGATGTGTCCAAGGGGAAGTATAATACTGCACTAGCCCAGTATGCTACTGAACCTGGAATTTCTCCTTGTTGGGATGAAGCTACACTTTTACACAGGGTGTTTGACTGAACAACTTACATTTGTTGGAGGCTATTGAAATTTATATAGCGGGCATGAAGGGAGGTTGCATTAACTCTGACTATATTCCAGTTCCACAATCGTGGAAGTATTATTTACAAAGCCACAAAGCATAACTATGATTTTTTAGTATGAAGTTAGCTTTAGGTGATGTAAAGGGAACAATTTTTCCCTATCGCACATTGTTTATACATTAAAACATCGGGCTAACTTTTAACAATGAATATATTATTACCACCATATATATTATTTTATATATTAGCACCATATATATTATTATTGTATTTATTTATAACTTTATAAATATTTTAATTATATATTGTAATACATAACGATCTTTGTATTCAACATCGTTTAAATGTTAAAAATTAGAACACAGCTATGTTCGAAAACTGTTAAAAAGATGGAACTGTTTTTCTATTCTATGCAATTTTTCCTGACGAGGGCCTCTGAAAGACAGCTGAAAACGTTTGAACATTAAAATTTTTTTGTTGTTCATTTGCTGGAATTATCGCTTAGGTGTGAAGTGGTTGTTTTAGTGATTTATTGATAGACTTTCATTAATTTGTCAAGAAATTTGCTTAAGAATATTTTCATATTAAATATGATATAGTTTATTGAATATGGTATGTAATATAAAAGATTCTAACTCTATATAAATGCATTACTAACTGAAAAAATATAAGATGAAATATTTACTTCATATTAATAACAAATGAAATCTTTGTAATGACTTGCAAATTGCAGAGATGTTTTAAAACATTACTTAAAATGAGAAAGATTTAAGATTAAAAATAATATATTTAACAAATTTAAACCATATGACAAACTTCTTTTAAGAAAAATTTGAATTAAAGTTTAAAATATTTTAATTCCAAGTAGATTTTACTTTTCAAGAATTAAAACAAATGATTCAATTAAATACATTCTAGCAAAAATGTACAAAAAATCTTTACATATTATTATATTTAAATATCTTTGTATAAAAAATGCATAATATACAAATTTTGAATGAATTTAAATTCATGAATAGTTATAAAATTTTCTAAGTAACTTAATTTTAAAACATCTATATAAAATATCACACACTGATTTTGACCCAAAAATCTAAATACTGTTGAAGAAATGAATAAATTCATTTTTTCTAATATATTGATTTTTCTAAATCACAGTCTTTCAACACGCAGAAGTTTACTTGAAATAAACAATCTAGCCAATCAACATCAGTTACAACTCTTGTAAGTATAGCAGTAGGTCATGAATACAAATTTTTATTTTATTTACTTTTTTATTATCTGTATTTTTGGTTTTTTTTTCTTTTTGTAATGAATCTTACAGTCTTATAAACACAATTTGGTTTATTATTATTATTATTTTGTTTTACATGAATATATTTGTTTTATGTTCGTGTTTAAATAAACAAAATTTTAATTTAAAGAATTATTGATTTATTCAAAAATTAATAGTAAACAAATGCAGTCGAATCTGGTTAATTTGAATTATTGGATAATTTTTACCTGCTCTGAAATTTGTATTTCAGTTAGTGTTTAAAATATATATAGTTAGTTCAAATTTTTAAGTATAAATTCTGATAATTTGAAGTTAGTATATTTTCTGTTTTAAATATAAAACTCAAAAAGAGAAAGCATGTGGTTAACTGATATATAGAATGTATTTTGGGGTGTTTAGGAGTGTGTTTTGTACACTCCTAAAGTATTGACAAAATTGTCATGTTCAGCAGTTTTCATGCTATCTGTCTAGATATAAAAGTTGTTCAGCCAAATTTTTATTATGTCTAATGAATGGAACATAAACTTTTTAAGCAAAAACAATATTGTGTAAGTGATTAAAGGAATGAAAATGGGATACTGCCAAAAATATGGAATACTTCCAAACACAAACCTCGTAGAAAACTAGTTTTAATTTTTGGAAAAGATGATTAAAAAGTTTATTTTTTGTTCTTTTTGGTATTCAAATTGAGGAGAATCGGCTGTATATTTATGTACTGTAAAATTTTGTCCAAAAATATTATTAGATTTTGTATTTATTATTATTAAACCACAAATGAAGTTGAAGGTTTTAATTAAACATTAATTTAAATTTTTTGTATGTAATCTAAGAAGTTTTATATGATCACACTAGATTCATTTTAAAAATATTCTTCAGCATTTAAAATGTAAAATGTTTAGTTAGAAGAGATTTTTTTTTTTTATTATCTACATTATAATTATATACATTTGCTAGTAAAATTTAAATAATCTGTAATTTTTAAAAAATATTTTATTCTCTTAACATTTATTATTTTTTAAAAAACCTTGCATGAGAGCCAACAATGTTCTGATTTATCATTTTAAGTTATAACTTACAAAAAATTATATTTTTGTATATAATTAATTTAAAATTAAGATATTCTCACATTAAGTAGTTTTAAAATACTTTATATGTAGTTGTTTTATTAAATTGTTTTTATATGTATTTATATTTCTTTTCAGACCATACTTTGAAATGAAGGCTCAGTTTAATCACATGCTAGAGGTCAGTTTTAATCACATAGATCAGTGCTACTGAAACTTGTCTGTGGACCAGTGCCAGTCTGTGAATGATTTATTATTGAGCTGCAGCAAGATTTCACTTAAGATTTAATAATTTTATATATTAAGTTAATAAAACAATTTAAAAATGTTTTAAAAGTCTATTATTTCATTAATTAAATTTAGTGCTAGAGAAGGACTGATGATTGGAATCAGCTTAGGAAATTTCTTGGAAATGCCTACAAACCTATTTTTTGTCAGAATGATTAGAATCAGATTTTGTTGTTTTTCATGCTAATTCAATCTAAAAATTAAAATTAAAAAAAAATGCAGCTTTTCTCTGTTTTATAATTATTTAATTTTATAAAAATACTGGTCTGTAAGGGATTGGAATGAAGAAAACAGGTCTGCAAACACAGGGTTTGAGAAGCACTGATATAGATAATTTATATTTCCAAACTTTGAATATTATTACAATAGAGCGTTGATTATCTGAATGTCGATCAACCGAAAGCGTTCCAGTTGGACTGTGTCGTGATGAATCGAACATTTTTGATACTAGATTAACTTCTAAAGCATAAATTTTTTTGTTTTTATATTTTTCAATATATTTATTTTGCTTGTACAAAATAAAGAAATAATTTTTAACGATACAATAGCCACGATGATTATAAAAATTTTCGTTAGGCTTAACATCGACGAAAATACAATGCGAAGCGACATGCAACGGAGAAAAATTTAAACATGGGATATATTAATATACTATTATTGGAATATACTAATATACTATATTAATAAGGTATTTTTTCGTACATAATCGATTATCTGAAAAATTGATTTTCCAAACAACCCCAGTCCTCAATTGATTCGGATAATTGATGCTCTGCTGTATTATTTTAGTTTAGTATAATAAAGATAAGCTTTTGGTCTCATGCCCATGAACAAAATTAATGAAAATTTAATAATTATCTTATTGAAACTATTATATAAATTATTTATGGAATTTGCTTTCATATTCATAAAAAGATTATTAGACTATACATGAAAATTAATTCCAAAGTACTTTATTTATATGAAATTTTTATATTTTGTTAATTACTGAAGCTGACAAATTTCTCAGAAATATTAAAATGTAGTTACATAATGTTCAGATATTCTAATTTGTTCTAAAAAGCAAATGATCAATAGTAATTCAGACAGATTCCAGATTACTGTACATTGAAAGGCATTATGAAATGTGTCATGAAACCGTTGTCTGTTGGCACTATCTCAGTTTGTTTGGCCAATAGGAGATGCAAAGTAAGTGCTGTAATAAAATTGACAAATTCTCCATATTAGTTGTATTACATGAATATCACTAGTAATGCTCTTCGAGTTATTGATTAGCTGCAGATATTAGATGAATCATACCTTAAGAGAAGTGATTAATCTCTTTTTTTTATTTTTAAATTTTACTTTACAACTCTTGGTATCACTGTCAATGTGAATCTGAAGAATGTCACCCAACTTGTGACATCTCACTTCATAATTTTTCAGATAGTCCTTGTTAGTGTTGTTGAAGAGGAACTTGTCAATAACTATGAACATTTGCCATAACTATTGCTTCAAAACAGTCAATGGTTTGGATTTTGGAGATTTTTGAATGATGCACAAGGAAGAGGATCAAGTACACGAGGTGGATTTCATGATATGTTTTGATGAAGAACTTTGAACTGATTGTAACTTTGGAAGTCTCTAAAAGCAGATTATTCTATAGTTCAAGTCCTACAAAAATTCCAAAGACTGTAGTTATGACATTTTCACAGATGATTCAAATTGTTAATGAATGTAAGATAACAGGTTCCAGAATGAAGTAAACAATTGGAATTGCACAGAATAGATTCAAGATTTTTTCTGGTTGTCACAGTAAGAATTCTGTTAGTAACAAATTGAACATATTTAAGGAGTTTATCAAGTGCCAAGGTTTCTTGAGAAGATCAAGAAATTACTCTATTATTATCTAATGGTTTGTGGAAGCAGGACTATAAGATAATCCATGTTCGTCACTTTCTATTCTGAGCTTGTGAAGTCAACATGGAAATAAAACTCATGAAGTTCAAAGCATCAGAATCATGGGTTACAAGATTTAAGATAGTAAATTACATTGTTAGCCAGAAGATCAATAGAATTATTTACCAAAAGAATTATCCAATCAACAGCTGAAGAGTAAACCAGCAATATCAACAATGAAAAGGATGGCTTTATGCTGTTAATGTATAACAGCGATAAATTTGGAATTAAATGCCTACTGGAAGAACTCTTGATTATAAAGGAACTCACTATTACTTCTTTGGTTCAGTCAGAAGATGCTAACCAATCACTCTTACACATTTCAATCTATGATCAGAATCAATTAATCTTGCATCTTTTGTTCTACTTATATCTTTAAGAAAAATTTAATTTTCCTGAAAATTGAAGACAGCCCATTCTGTCCGTGGAAATATTTACTTGAAGCGTTCATCATCTAGTAAGACTGATAAAAATCTGACTAAAGACTTGTTTACTGATGTTTTCTTTCCAGAAGTAAAAAAAAAAAAATGCCATCAAAGACAGCCATGCCTCTTCATGATGCTTGACCTGGATTTAAATCCAGGGAGTCAAAGGACTAACAATCAATATGAGAATGATATCAAGACCACATAAATTGTTCTTCCTATAGACATGTTCTTCTTCTCTACTTAGAAGACATATTTCTGACTACATTCTTCTGATGATGATGAGTATTCCTCTGCAATAGTGAAACACAGTCATGAAACATAGTCTTTTGTTCACTATTAGTTCACTGTCAGTTGCTACAAATAAATGATCAAATATTTTTGGTTTCAAGTGTGTGAGAGCTTCCAATGAGATATCATACTCCATTGTTCAGCTTTGAAATCATTCTTCCAGAAAAGGATTGTTTGGGATACCTTCAAATTGTAAATCATTTGTGCATTGTAAATCATATTTATGCTTCATTCGTTTTTCTGCATCTGATTCTGATACATATCATAAATGCATTGATTAGTTTAGTCATTTGAAATTTCAATAAAATGTATTTACTTCACCTTTTATATTTTTAACACTTCTAATACTGTAGCCCTTCCTTTTACCCAATTAATATTACTTGTAGACCAATATAACTTATATTAATGCATTTTTCTGTTGGGCACTAATATGCTATAGTGGCCAAACAAAATCAAAACAGTGTAAACTGAAAAGAGTATCATGACACACTTAATAAAAGCTTTCAAACATACAGTATAATAAACTAGAATCTCTGAATCACTACTGACTGACTGCTTGTAAGTGATAAAATAGCTAATTAATCTTTAAGTGCATTATAATTTAATAACAGTTATAATTTCGATTATAAATATTATTTTTTCTTGATTTAATATAAATTTAATAAATTAATTTAATTCTATTGTAAACCAGAATTATTAATATAAAAATCAGTTGGTAATTAGTATATATATATATTTGTATAGGAACAAAAAAGAAAAGTCCAGCAGTTAGAAGAAAATGTAACAAAAGTAAAAATGAGTTATGCTGATGCCCTTCATAATTTGGAAGAAATTAGTGATGAAATACATCATAGGCGTAAATCCAAAGAACTACAAAATCAAGAGAGAGGTGAAGGAGTAGGAGCTGAATCACCTTTACCTTCACACCATCGTATACCATATATAAATGATGTGAAAAATGAGAGGAAACAGGTTAGAAACTATTTCTTGATTCCGCCAATTATGTTATACTATACGTACAACATAAAAGTTGTTGGAGTCATTGATTAAGATAAATCTTGTAAGATTAAATTAGTTTTCTAGTAGCAATTTCTTTTCACAAAGAAAATGATGAGTAAATAAACTGATGATTTATAAAAATTTGTTGATTTTTACAGTGGTAGTTTCCAGAAAAATTAAATTAGATTTGATGATAAAATTAAATCATTTGAATATAAATTTAATAAATTAATTAATTTTATTTTATTGTAAATCAGAATTATTAATATAAAAATCAATCGGTAATTTGTATAATTACCAATTGATTTTTACCTTTGATTGATTACCTTTTCACAAGAAAGGGAAAACATATTTATCAATTAATTTTTTTGAAAAAAGTCAATTTAAAGAAATGTTATAAAGCAGGGGTTTCAAACTAGCAGGCCAGATACGGCCCATTAAAGCTTTGTATCTGGCCCACAGCTTTGATGATTTCTGTCCTAAAAATCAATGTTTCTGACATCTTGCAGTGATAAAACAAGAAACATAAACAGAAGTTTAAATTTTTTTAAGTTGTAAAGGTTTGGCAACAAAGGGGCCTTTGTAAGAGCTCTTCAGAAAGTTTACAGAAAATGGTTATTAGTCATAAACAGAATGCTATATTTATAATTAATTGATGAGAGTATAAATTTGTTGAGGCTTGTTTTAGTCCATATCTAGCCCCATCAGACTTTTTTCAATTCTGAAATTTAAAAATTGATATTAAAGACATTTGCTGGTGATCAATAGATCAAGTGAAATGTTTTGTAGTACAGTGGCTAGAAACAAAGAGAACTGATTTCTACTGGAAGAGGTTAGAAGAGTGGCTACACAGTCATGGCCAACATACAGCCCGTCTAATGAATTTGTGGCCCATGATCAATCTTTCAATATTAGCTACTCAAGTCCGAATATCTTGATGAAAAATTCTGATGCCTGAAAAAAAAAACAAAGGTCAACAACTCACTGCATTTAGAATTAACCCTCCATTACAAATCTCGTAAGTACAGCGTAAAATATTGATAAAGCATGATAATGTGAAAAATGTATCTGTAATCTCTATCTACAATTTAGTCTCTACGGGTTGACACCACAATGAGATATCGCACCACCTCAAAATCTTCCTAGGGCAGCCTCTGGTTCAGCCCATGGAAAAAGTTTTCTTTCCAATTTGACCCAGGGGCAAAAACTGTTGGCCACCCCTGGGCTGCATAGTACGGAAAAATGTTTTAACTTGAATAGAATGTACGTTGAAAAATAAAGTGCTAAATTTGATTGGCTGTCTTTTTATTTAAATTTTCTGGGAACTTTTTGAATACCCCATGTACTTTTTACAAAAAATATTGCTCGATAACTCAGTAATTATTTTATAAGAAAAATATATGTAAAAAAATTTTTTAAATGTTTTATGCTTCATCTGTAACAACTAATGCAATCAGTTAAGTCTAAGAAATAATTTTTTATGACGATATAGTAGAACCCCATTTATCAAGTGGCTAGTTAATAAGATTTTAGTTTGTGAATTATATCTCACAAAGATGCTCAGTTTTATAAATGAATGGGAATTTGATTAAAGACACTGTTATGCCAATTTTGATATTATTGCCTAAATATGAAATCAATACAGTGGTCGGTTCTCAGTTAAACCTTTTTAACAATTATAGTAAATGGTCTACCAGTGACTGAATTGATTGAACCATCAAACACTGGTCTGTGCTTCATTAACAGGCTGCATGTGGAGTTTTTTAGGTTTTCTTCACATATCTAACATTTAAATAGAGACTAAGTTTCCTTAAAATGTTCTCTTGGGTGATAATTCCTTGGCAGATCACCCAAGTGTTGTTGTTCTATCAGTCCAATCCATTACAGTAAAAGTCAAGAAAGTTAGCAAATCTATCATTACAGAAGTTTCCTTTGAAGTTAATGTTTTGATTAATTTAAAGATTATTATAACTGGAATTAATTTCTTATCCTATCAAAATAATACATTCAGTTAACAAGTAACTTTGTATGGTCATCAAATGAGAAACCGCCATATTTATCAACTGTTACTAACAATGTGGTGATACAAATGACTGTTTATATAATAAATATATCTCTTTAATCACAAGCACTCATTTTATGAATTTAAAAACACATTAAATAATTAATGATTCCTTTAATATTTTCAAATGAACGTTATAATTATAATAATGTTTAAAATAAATATAAAATATACTTCAAAATTTTTATGAAAAATTAGCATTTGTTATGTTTGGGTATTAAAAGAATTGATAGTTTAAATTTTGTTATTTTGAATTTTAAGAAATTAAATCTATGTGATTTGAACTTTAATGCTATATTAATTATATCCCACTGTTGTTTATTATTACAAGTTACATACTTGTAAAGTTTAATAGATCACAAAATTTGAATTGCATTTTCTTGTGAATGCAAATAGAAGCCACTTCTAAATTGTATGATTTTTAAAGTATGGATTAAATGGAGCAAAAAAAGGATCAAAATCCAGCCATGTTTTTGCTCCATTAGGAACTTCTTGTTACATAAAGTAAGAAATACAGAGTTCCACTATCAGATTTTAGTTGATCTATTGTAGAATGCCACCTGCAAGTTCTCATAAAATATGGTATTGCCTTTAGCACCAGAAGTGATCATATTTATAGCAAATAAACAAAAATTATAGGGTATAGACATCTGATATAAGAACAACAAATGAGCTATCGTACCAGAGAACAAACTATTCTCAGAAAAATAATACAAAGTAATCGGAAGTGTCGTGAAAACTGTTGAAGAGTTTATTAAAACATTCTTAAACATAAAATTAGTTTCTCTTGGCATGCTGAAGTGTGTTTTGATAACATTTTTAAAAATCTTTTGTTCGTATTTGACGTGGTTTGGACGGGTGCAATTTTCTTTTAGTGGGTGTTGTCTCTAAAGATTGAAATTTATCATCAGTCCTAATTCTTTTTTCTATATTTGGAATTTTATCACTGGTTAAATATTCAGAGTTTGTTGTTGAACTATTATGTTATGGAAGAGGATGTATATACTTTGTATAAATATTTCCAGATTATGCAATACAATTTTTTCAGCAACTATCAGCATGTGTGTGCATGTGCAAACAAACACACACACATGCAAACAGATATATATATATATATATATATAAGACTTTGATGTGAGGAAATGAAGATTGTTTTAAAAATGTGAATCAAGTCTACTTCTAAAGTGCATCTAAACTGCCTTTTTTGCATGAAATTCCAACTCCTGTCTGGCCTCTTAATTTCCTGTTTGCCCATCACCTTGTCCTGTAGATTGATTCCCTCTACTTCTAGCTCTTGGAATCAGTCCAATAACATTTTTGAGATCCCTACTAGTGATGTGCCGGATATCCGTATTTGTATCCACAGATATCCGAGGGAGAAAAGATCCGTATTCGTATCCATTACTTTTTAGTGGATCTTTAATGGATCTTTTATCTTAATGAATTTCATTACTTATATGAAATTTTAAAGATAGGTAGCAATAAAATACTAATAACTTCAATTCAAATCACTTTTTATTTCTTAAAATCACATATTTGGCACATTCATATTGCAAAAATTTTATCATGCAAAAATCATTTACTATCGTAAAATATTTCCATATTACACTGCTAAACTTTTTTGTTGTCATTGTTTTTATTTTAATTTAACTCAACACTCCAAAAACACAAATGTAATCTATGCTATCCCGTGTCACACTAAACTATAAACAAAAACACGTGCAGTGCAAGTCAAAACGCGTTGCGTTACTAACGCAAAGCGTCAACTATCTGTCCAAGATCATATGTACTGGCACGGACTGAGTACGAAAGTTGAGATCCATATCTGTATCCACGGATCTAGACACTAATGATCCGTATCCATGGATATACATTTTGAATGATCCAGCACATAACTAATCCCTACATTGGCTTATATTTGTAATGAATAATACTCTGTTTATATATTTGTCTAACAAGTGGTAAGATCGTAATGTTGAAGAAAAGACATTATTATTAATTTGTTTATAGTAAATATCACTGCTATTACTGTTTCTTTGATAGGGTCATGAGCCACATACTATTTTCTATTTTAGGATCACACATTTCTTTAGGATTTGTACAAAATATGTATATAGACTCAGCTTTTTATAAAGTAATTAATTGCTTTGTTATTTTTATTGGTTTAAGCAAATTCACAGATAATGTTAAGTGGGGTAAGTACATCAGATTATAATTAGAGGGAATTCTTGATTTTTTAAAAAGACATGTTATAATTAAAATATAATTAATAAATCTTCACATTATACATAATTCATCTAATGTTAAAATTTCTAGCAGACAAACATATATATAGACAAACAAATATAGTAATTTAAATTTTAATACCAGCTGTTACAGCTGGTATTAAAATTTAAATTACTATATTTCAAGCAAATAAGAATTAACACTTAAAGCACTGGTTAAGACTGACAGCATGCATTCAGTAGGTTTTTTAAGCACTCTTTTTTGTGTTATCAGCCTCAAGCTTTGGCTGATAACACAAAAAGAGAGCTTAAAAAACCAACTTATGCAAAGATGATGATAAAAGTATCACTTAATAAAAACTTAAATTCCGGTATGAATATGTATTTTAAATTGTATGCTTTAGGACTTGCTAATTCTGATAACATTAACTGGCTGGTAGCAATACTTGGAGTGTGCTTAATTTTACACAAATTGTATTTAAAGTAATCACAATATAATTTTATCAAGAGCTGATTAGATAATTCACAAACCTATAAGAAATTAAATAGCTTAAGAAATGAATGGAAGTTGGTGCCATATGTAAATAAACAGGAAACTCAAACTGCTTGTTAAAGTTTCAGCTATTTAGCCTAAGTGGGCCAAAATGTTTCTATTAAACCCTTATTTTATAGCCCAACATGTCTAA